TATATATCATGCAGAGGAGAGAAGCATACATGCAGGACATATTTGCATCCATTAGGTGTGTTCAGGGAGGAGTTTATGTTTGCTCAGTTCTACATTTGTTGGGATTTATAGAGGAAAAGTGCTCATTTTATTTAGTTATTTTTTGCTTTTTAAATTGACAAGTGAAATCAGAAGCAAATAAATGCAAAACAAATCCAGGTTCAATGAAAAACCTACCAGAAGTTATTACTATTCCCACGTAGCTGACTGTTGTCCAGAAAATGGCCATCAGGGTGCCTTTTGGGAGAGCGGAAGTGGGATCCTACAAAGGTAAAAGGTAAACAGGTCATCTGTTACATCGTTCATAAAAATCAATCTAGTGAGTACCAAAATATTTGAATTATTTTCATACTTTCAGATCTCCACAGATGTTGACTCCAGATAGAATGCCAGTAGCAGCAGGAAAGAAAACGGAAAACATTCTGAAAAAATTTCCTTGGGGACCTCTCCAGCTTGGAGTCAGGTTTTCTATCAAAATATCACCTACAAAGAAGATCACAAATGACTTGATATATCATAAAAAAAAAAAAATATATATATATATATATATATTTTTTTTTTTTTTTTACTGAGAACTCAGTTAATCTATTGAAAAAATAAAATGTGTGAATTATTTTGCAAAATACACCAAATGTGTTTCTTCTATAAACTATTGTGTGCTGATCTCACTACGACATTGCAATTACTACTACATAGTAATAGCCAGTCTTATCAATTATTTATCATTATTCTGCATAGTCTTTAGACATGGACTTCAGATTATTTTCCGTCAGAGGAGCGCACCTGTGCAGGTATCAAAACACAGTTTAGTACTCTTGAGATGTGTTGGGCATGATAAATTATTTTAGACAAATTTAAGATGTCCCCACTGATACATGGTGCTTGCAAATGGCGTCACCAGGGAAGTCCAATGACATACTACCTTTTGACTTACTGTACAGTTTTAGGGTTTAGGTGTTAAAAAATACTTGGTTAGGTATAAATAACTGTGTTTCAAACATACAAAAAAGAAACAAATTTTTTTTATCTCAAATATAAAATTTAGGGATGTGCCATATTTGTGGAAAAATATGGGGAAAAAAGTTTCATTTTTTCTTTAACTTAAAAAAAAGGTTGAAAATAATATTTTTTTGTGTTGTATTTATTTGAATGTTTTGTCTGTATTTTACACAAGACACTTCAATTAACACTGAAATATAATTTCACATTTAAAATTTTGAACCTAAAGCAGCTCACTATCCAACTAAATGATCATATTGCTAAAATGGTTGTTTTTTTCAGTAACCACATCCATCCATCAATTACATTTGCCCACTTCTTCCTTTCTGGGTCATGGCAGTTACTGGTGCCCATGTCCAGCAGTCACTGTGTGAGAGGTGGGGGACACCCTGGACAGGTCTCCAGTCCATCACAGGGACACATAGAGACAAATGAGACAAACAACCATTCACTCTCTCACTCACACCGAGAGACAATTTAGAGTCACCAATCAGTCTAACATGCATGTTTTTGGTCTGTGGGAGAACACCAGAGTACCCAGAGAAAACCCACACATGCACGGAGAGAACATGAAAACTCCACCCACAAACTTCCCCAGCCAGGATTCAATCCGACAACCTTCTCGCTGAAAGGCAACAGCTCAACCAATTGAGCCACTGTACCAATGAGTAACTAACTACATGTACACAGAATTTAATTTAAAATGAAATTGAAAAAATACAGGCTTTTTTTGTACAATAAATGAATACACATTTGTAAATGTGAAGTTAAAGCAGTACTTTACTTCTGTATCCAAAGTATCCAATTGCTTGTTTCTCAGGTGTAGGAGGGAGAAATGTACCCGCAAAGTAGTTTACAAGGGAGAGCATTAGAAAGAAAAAAAACATCATTTGGGTCTGAAACATAAACAAAAACACAGTTAATAAATCAGTTTTGAGCTATGTCAAATACAGCATGGCACATATATTTAATAGATTTACATAACAGCATGGTAAGTATCAGGTACACAGTATACTACTCACCTGGTTGTAATATGTTTTGCTTTACAAAAAATATGTCAGTTAATTAGATATGTGTATATGTATGTATACTGTATATATATATATATATATATATATATATATATCATTTGAACAAAGTTGTGAAGTGTAGTAAAAAGGGAGAAAGGTTTGACGTATGTTTCTGCTGTTTTAAGCTTTCATTAAAAGGGGGCACAAGATTGTCTTTATCAGTCAGAGTCAGAGTCAGAACTGTATTTTGTAGGAAATCAATCATATTCAACCTACTGCATTTAATCACCTTTAGTATTTATCAGAACTCAATAGCTGAGGGCTTGTTTTTGGTCAATCCAGAAAGTCGGCTGTATTCAGCCCCAGAGCAAATGATTCGGGCCATGCGTGTATGATTCTTTGATCTACGTAGATCTGCTGTTTTGTAGCAAACTTTTACTTGTAATACACCTTTTCCATTGGTAACTGTACAGCCCGACTCGACTCGACTCAGCATGGTTCCAAGGCTTTTCCTTAAGTAAAGGTACGTAGAACCGGTCCCCTTTTTTCAGAATCCTTTTCTCTGTGGTACCAACCGGGTCAAGCACGTACCAAAGGGGGACATCAGAACACTGTCAGTCACTGATTGGTCAGGGGGAGGAGCCACTAGCTGTTCGAGAAATTTCACAACATTCGATCCACCATTTGCAATTACCGGTGTTCGAACTCGAGGAGCCACTGGACATATTTTATAGATTTAACAATACACAATAATGACAACACCGTGGTCTAATGCTGAAGTGCATGTGTTTATGTGCTTGGTGGCCGATGACAAAATTCAGAGCAAGCTACATGGAGCTCTGACGGTCCTCTCCAATGGAGCCTTGGAGCTCCCTCAGGCTGTGCAGGGCGTCATCTCCCTGGCTCCGAGCTCCGCTGGTCACCGTGGAGGAACATATGAGCTGCTGACTCACAGAAGGCCGTTGTCCGGGCCCCGGCCTTGTGTGTTCATGAAGGCCAAACCCCGATCCCAGCAGACGGGTGGACCAGGACGGGTCTGGCGCACGGAGCGTGGAAACGATTTGTAAAAACTATTTATGTATTAAAAAATATTTTTTTTAATCAGTGAAGATTAAAATAAATAAGTAAATGGTGCCACAGTCAGGGCCCACAATTAAAACAATTTCAAATATTTATTTTGACATAATTTGGGCTTCCAGCTCATGAAACCCACGAAAACAGGATTTCAAAAAATTAGAATACTGTGAAGAAATCAGCCCAAATTTTGCAGGGCATGAATTTTTTTAAACTGAGTGTGACACGCTAATCATCTACTAAACAAAGCACATGTACAGGTTTCCCCAGGTGTCATTAAATTGCTTCAATTCAGTTCAATATGGGGAGGACTGCAGATATAACAAGTGGCCAGAAGGCCATCACTGATACCCTCCATAGGATGGTTAAGACACAAAAGTTCATAGCTAAGGATGCTGGCTGTTCACAGACTGCTGTGTCCAAGCATATCAATGAAAAGTCTAGTGGAAGGACAGTGCTTGACTGGCCAGACAACTTGCCAGACCTAAACCCCATTGAGAATATATGGAGTATTCTCAAGAGGAAAATGAGGAGCACCAGACCCAACAACAAAGAAGAGCTGACAGCATGAAGGAAATCTGGGCTTCCATAACTCCCAGGAAATGCCACAGGCTGATTGTCTCAATGTCATGTCACACAAAGGAAGTGATTAAGGCAAAGAGATTCTCAACCAAGTATTGAAGATTGACATATCGTTTTGAAAGTACCATATTTTGATTGATTTGTTGTGATCCTAATTTCTTTCTCTCTTTTTTTTCTGCAAAAACTGAGTAGTGCGGGCTGATGTCTCCACAGTATTCTAATTTTTTGAAATCCTGTTTTTGTGGGTTTCATGAGCTGGAAGCCAAAATTATGTAAAAATAAACAAATAAATACTTGAAATAATTTAAATTGTGGGCCCTAAATCTATCATCTATTAAAGATTAACTTTTTGGATGGAATTATGGAAGTTAAACAACTTTTCCATGATATTCAGTTTTTTTGGAAAGGTTCTGTATATAAAGTTTAATTTGATAATTTTAATAATGTGTATTCTTTTTAATTTACAAGAGACTTCAAAATAAATTCTCACCCTGTACGATGCCTGTTTTCATGGTCTTACCACCAGCATTACCGCCACCAACTGGTAAGGCACGTGACATCAATTTGAACCCCGCCCACTGGAACCGGTAGTGAAAGCATAATGGAAACACAACGTGTACCGTACCGAGCTGAGTAGAACCATGCTGTACAGACTAAATGCTAAATGTACTAATGGAGAAGGGGCATAAGTAAGTGTGTGCGTGCTATATGCTGCCATCTGTATGTTCCCAGACAATGACAAAATCGGTTCTCTGCATTTAACCCATCACACCTGGGATAAACCCAGGTTGAGCAGTGGGCAGCTATTGAGCATCCAGGGAGCAATTAGGGATTGGGTGTCTTGCTCAGAGACACCATGATGTGGGAATGGCTGGGAGTCGAACTGCAACTTTCTGGTCCCAGGCCAGCTGCCCTATCTTTACCTCATCTTGGTCTCTGTATTGTGCTCAACGCAAGTGTGTTTTTGCTCTCTACATGTGAACAGAAACAATTTTAATGAACAAGATAGAAGACAAGTGACAGCCACCTGCGAGGGAAGCACCTTTTCTGGGTAGGTTGCAGCAACTTGTCCAGCGATTTTACAGTGTCCTATGATTGAACCAGGGTTTCCACAAGGCATTAAAAAACAATAAGCTATTAAATGAATTTTGCCAAATTTAAAGCCTTGAATGGCATTTACAAGTATTAAATTTGAGTCTCAGTGGCATTAAATATATTTCACTAGTTTCAAAGAAAATTCAGATGAGGTGAGAAAACTTAGAAATCACTCAAAATGGCAATTTTTGTCACACAACTGCTACAATGGCAAGAGTTTTCAGTTTCTTGCAAAGTGTAAATCAACCTTTTGACGAAAACTTTTGACAAAGCAGTAAAAGATGAGTAAGTAAGACAATGTAAAGATGAGTGGAGGTCAGAGGGCATAAAAGGAGAGGGTTCATTTATGCTACAGAAATGTGCTTTAAATGTGCTCACCTTGGACTCCCACTCCATTCCAGCCAGTGTAATGAGCAGAAGGATTGTCACAGTGATCACACCAATAATACGAACATCGTTGAGTGAATCCACCATGACGACATTGAAACCCTACATTATTCAATCATGTTGATCACAATAATATAAATGATTAACTGTTACATTTAAATAAAACAGTTGCAAAAGCTATTTGTACACTTGCAAGACCAGACATATACTTGCACTTTATAACTGTACAGTACATAAGTGACAATTTATCAGTAACAAAAATAGTAAAGTAATGCCGAACAACACAGTGTTGAGTTCAGTGTAATAATATGCATTATTTAATACTTATAATGATGTCCCTACAATTTCTAAAAACATTTTTTTTTAAAACAAAGATTTACCAGCATTAGATCACGAATAACCTCTGAACAACCAACGGTGTTGAGTGAACATGACAGTGCATTGCCAAAGGAGTAAACCAGCCCAATTGCTCCTCCAATTTCAGGACCCAGAGTTCTCGAAATCATTAAATATGTCCCACCTGTTATTAAAAAATAAATAAATAGACAAAAACACATAGATATATGAGAAATTGTTTGACTTTTTTTGAAAATGCATTCCGTTCAAATCTGTTTTAGGTATTTCTTTTAGGTACTGCTTCCTGATCATGCATAAACTTTACTTCTAATACACTATTTACCATTTTGGAAAATATCCAACCCATTTTTGTGAAATTTTATGTCTGAGACTTCCAAATGAGAAAGTTTAGACAAATCAAATCTCTATTCAATTATTGGGTTCAAAGTTTAAAAGGTCTTTGAGGATTGTGCCGTTTTGAGTCCATTTTCTAGAAGGGATCAAATCTGTAGCCAATTATTTGGTCTACATCAATTTACAAGAATTTATTTTATTTTATTTTTGTGTTTTATTTAAGGCACTTAGATTATGTCTTTCCAGAAAGACTCACCTGAGACCACCCGCCCATTGGTGGCAATGGCAGAAATTGATAATGCAGTTGCAGACGTCACCGACACAGACATCAAGATTATAACAAACGTGAGCACTGTCAAGAAGAAAATAAAATTATCAGACAAACATAAGATTTTAGTTTAGTGCAGTTTAAACATCCACAAGCCAAAATGTGGGTGCAAAACTAGATGAATCATGTGGAACAAAGCAAAGAGTAATAGTGAAACATTCTCTATGAATAACAAAAAAGGTTGAATCATGTCATCTGGACTTCGTTTTTTTGTTAAAAAGAAACGTTTCGCCCCTCATCCAAGAGGCTTAGTCAGTCTGAGGCCTAGCCATCTGGTATTACCCAGAAGCCACCCTGACTCTTGTGTTTCAAGCCTGCCTCAGATATCCCTGAAGTCTGGCCTTTTCACTAATGGTTTCAAAAACACAAAGTTTGTTTTCTCAGTCATCCAGGTATATAAC